ATGTCAACAACTATCGTGAGACACTTAGTTAACTAAAAATCGCGAGTTACTCACGTGAATATACTGAGAAAAGCTCTACTAGTAGGCTGCGCGACATCGCCGCGACCGCGCACGCTGGTCATGAGGAAGAACCCCTCTGTGGTTCGAAACTAGTAGAGCTTTTCTCAGTATATTCAAGTGAGTAACCCGCGATTTTTAGTTAATAATGTCAACAATAGTAGAATTTGCTATTAGAATATCTATTAGAAACTTACAAGTCTGGCTGACAGAGCTAGTCGTGGGTCAGTGAACTGCGTGGTTCTGTTGTTGTGGTCTACGAAGTACGGTCTGCCAGACGGCGCATGTCGCATCTCCCAGCCGGGCGGCAGCGGGCCGGCCGCCGCGGCGCAGTGCCGCAAGTGTTGTGGGACGCGAGGGTCGTGCCACGTCGACGCACCCGTGTTGGAGTTGTAGAAGTATACCTGACCCTGAGCTGTTGTTCGCATTTCTGAAATGTTTAGTATGAAACATAAGCAACTGGTCAGCATTCTTAATTATTGTTTCTATTGAACACTTTTTTGTATTAGGTCCGATGGATTAGCATGGAAGTTATTCATACGGCCCCTGACAAAACATTACGGTCTACATACACAATTGGTTCATATAAAACCCAATAATAGGTTACCCAATCTGTGAACATAATCAAAGACCTTGGCCAGAGCAATTGATGATGTCAGTACAGTAATAATGTGTCATTGTACTATTATAGGTGGTAATCAAATGTTCAGAATACAAATGAGTTTTGAGATAAGTATGTGTTCCCTTTGTAAGGCGCCATTAAACCAAATGCCAGAACTAAAAACTAGACTACTAAGGATGACTACCAACAACTAAGATATCAGTTTTGTAGGCGAAAAGTAATGTCTCGAGAGTATTTTTTTATGTTCGTTTAATGAAACTGCAAATTACTTAGTAACTTATGGCTTGAATAATACCTTACATGAAAAAGTTCTTACCGTAACCAGGGGGTAAATCAGTAGCAGCTATGGGAGCAATTGGAGTAGTTGGTGTAGTTGGCTGGGCGGTTGAGCCGGCCGGTGGAGACGTCGCTGTGGGAATACGGGACCTAACTGCAGTCTGTGGCTGAGGCTCAGGCCTATAACATAATAAATATTTACTTTAATGAATACTTAGATGAAAATAGGGAAAACAATGATACAGTACAATGCTATATCAGTATTATCTGTTCTGATTTACAAATCAAAAAAAAAAATTAACAAAACTATTCTCATTCTAATCTCTTGAATTGTTTTAAAAATTAGATTGTAAAGTTGACTACTGAATCTTGAAAACAAAACAATACAATTGAGGTAAGTCAGATAATGTATATAATATGTAACCTTGAATGTTAGGACAATGCATGCATATTATATATATTTACCTTAAAGATATGGAAGTAGCATGATTGACATCTGGGTCTGAAACTGGTGACATCGGCGAGGATGGCGATGCTGGGGAGACCGGACTGGATGGTGTAGCTGCCGGCGTCGGGGATGATGGCGGTGACGAAGCTGCAGGAGACACAGGCGCTGCGCCCTCGCTAGTAGGCCGCTCCCACTGAGTGCGTCGAGACGCATGGTTCACGTAGTATGGTCTGTAATATAGATACGCAATTATAAAAATGAGATCCGAATCAAGTATCGTGATTATTCTTTGAGATGGTCTATTTTGCAGTTATTTACTAGTAATGACTTTAATTGAAAGAATGCTGTAGTTAATTAAATTTCGAAATATAATAAAAAAACCAATGACATTAACCTGCCACTAGAAGTAAAGCGTTCTTCCCAATGTTGTGGCAGTGGATTTCTCGTTCCGTTTTGCACGGGTGGTGGGTCACGAGGGTCTCGCGGAGTGCGTACATCTCCAGCGGGACCCACCACGGCCAAAGGAGATCCCTCGCCGGCCGCCGCAGCCGGCTCGCCCCGCGCCGCGTCCCGAGACACCAATGACACGATCACTTGGCCCCGAACACCACATGTCTCTCCCGTACCCTCTTCGCATAACTCCAGGCATTGGTCTATCAAATTACGAATTCACATGTCAATTAATAATAATAAAAAATATCAATTAATTATTGAAGGTCTAGATAGCAAAATTATCATTTAACTTTAGGCTGATAAAAGGAATCTTCATTTAATATTACAATTTAAAAGGTCATTGAAAAGGACCAAATATGTATAACATTGAAATAAAATTGTTTTTTTTTACATTCTCTTTTAAACTGCCTATGATGCAACAAAAAGGAATTTTATTAATTTAATAGATACATTATAATAAGAATTCGAAATGAAATCTATTTCATCACTATTTCGAAACTTTGTGGAAGTTTGTCACTGATACAAGGAAATTAAATATTGCTTCCATTGACAAGATTAATAAATAAACTGGCAATTTGTTTTAAATGGAAGAAGAGTAAAGAAATCGCAAACTTGTTGACAAATTAATTTTAAATATTGGACAAAACTATTATTACCGTAGTACATAATAGTATCACAATCATACATATAAGAAACCATTATGTGCTCACATTCCACTATGCCATATTTGGTGGAAGTGTGACACTTGAGAACTAGTTAAACAATAAGCAAGGATATTTACATATACATAATTTATACATACATCCCGTGTCCTTCAATTTGTGCACAGTAGATGGCTGAATTCTAACACAACCAAGGAATCCAGAACCTTGTCTCTTGTGAACTTTACGCTGATTCCATACACTAAAAATAATAAGTAAATGTTAATAGAAATTTGATATAATATAATATGTATCTAAACAGAAACCAAAATTCGTTGTTTACTATTGTATTTCATGCTAATAAAATTTACATATTAGGTATTTATTTGAATGTAATGTTTGTTTTCTCCACTGTTATAGTAATGTACAATTTTATTTTTATCCATGTTTGTGCGCGTTTATCTCGCGATTGGCTGAGCCGATTTTGATGCAGTTTTCATAACAGTGTTTGTTACACTTAGAAGAAGGTATATTAATTAACCAACTTCAAAAATAAAGGGGTGTAAGTTTTTTTAACCTAGTTTATGAAAGTTTCAAGCAATCATGCCTTAGACAACAAGATACCATAATATTATCACACCTATAATTTTTTTTTACAGAAAAACATTTATCTTACAGATAACTTACATTTCGTAACAGTCCTATGTCCCTGAGCATTTTCCTCTTTCGTAATACAAAAAGATTATAGAATTCTTTGAGGGCATTAAAAGGAGCAGTTATTAAACATTACGCCATCATATTCTTCATAAAGTGGTCACATGTGCAGTTATTGGGAAAAAGATCCCAGGTCGGTAACCTTTTCTAATTTGAAATTATAAATACAAGCAAGAATCACAAAATTAAGTTGGTTGTTTGGTAAACAAGTTACTGTCTTTTATTACATGGCAATTGGAGAAACATGAGTAACTTTTGTAGCATACAATCAACATCAAAAATGTGAGTAATGCATATTAATTATCTAACTTTAAGTAATAGTAAAATACATTGTGCAGTAAAATTATGTTCATGCTATTAGCTAACTTCCTTAATGGTGTTAGACAGGTGAAAGTACAACTTTAGCATGAAAATAACAATAATGTTGGTTATAAGTTCTTACATTCTAGTCAATCGAGATAAAACATGGTTCTACTCCGAGATACTTTCTCTTTACTTTTCAGTATCTTGTGTTTCAATGTCTTGAGTCTCATTGATAAGAATCATTGGAGATAAGCTATAAATCTATATAGGTTACCAGTCAATCTATATGTACTTTTATACTTCACGCCAGAACACTGTATCAGTAAGCGTGGTGCAGAATATAAACAGGGTTCTTAAGACATTGTGTATACTTACATAAGTATTATACAATTGCTTCAATGCAGTTTTTTTCATTAAACTCAAAACTATTTCAGAAACCAATATCCAAATATTTAATGTAGGAATGTCCGTTACTTAATTCTGAACAATATACTAAATGCAGACACATTTCATAGCTAATTAAGGACAATGTGAAGCTCTTAATTGCTTGAGGACTCATCAACTCATTCATAACAAAATTCTTATTGTAAGTAGTTGCTATATGGTTGGGAACTATACACTATTGAACTTACCTAATTGTGATTCCATCCCCTTTGGTTAGGTACAGATCATAATGAGTATTCCACTTGGGATCGAGAGTTGCTTTCACGGTGTTTGTAGAATACACCTGTCCACTGCCATCAACAGAGATTTTCGCAAATGGGTCTGGTAACCCTAAAACCATATGAATACATGTTATAGTATTGTATTTATATGTACAATCTTATAAGAAATAGGCCGCAATTGCGACGCAATTCTTTCAACCGTATTATTTTCATAAAAATTCAACGCAGGTCGTATGGTTCTCACCTTGAAGTTACACTATCATCAATTTTGATTTCAGTTAAAATTTCAACACAATACTAAAATATACTTACGAAACAAGTCCCTCCGAACCAAATTTCTGGCACATAGAACTAAAAACAAAATAATAGGAGAGTTAATTATAAAGAATGTTAAACACACTTGAAGCAAAATATTCACACCAAGTAGCGGAAATGGTTGGATAACAAGACACTCACTAGTCAAACGTATTTTTTGGGCTCCATATTTGCGGTTGGACACGGGAGTGGACATTTTTTAATACTATGTAATAATCATCGGGATAAATAAATTTTAAAACGATTTCATCCAATTTTCACATAAACTTTCAGCCACCATTTTTATTTCATTGAATGAATGATGAATGAATTTCGAATGAAAAGTTGAGACGAAGAAATGTTTTATTAAAAAAATGGAAGTTAGAAGTTGGAACACTAGTCTTTACAGTTCACTTTATCGGCTTAATATTCTCAATAACTTAGTAACAAAATGCAACGCGCAGCGTCACAAAATAACGTCAAACAAAAAAAAAAAAACAGATTCACTTCACTGTGCGCGTACAAACATCAAAATACTAATACCGATCTAGACCAGCTTAGGTATTCTTTTAATGTTTTCATTTCTCGTTAATTGTATAATACATAAATTACATCACGTATTATCCAATGTATCAACAAATCATCGAGCTTTGAGAAGTAACTTTTAAGTATTATAATAATTAAACGTTGACAAAGGATACTCATTTATTGGACAAGGCTAATGACCTTACGCGGCATTTTCAAAACTATTCACTTTAATGTGATATGTTTAATGTGCGTATTTTTACATAGAAAAAGTGTGTAAATTATTGATTTCTACAATAAGCTAACTAAGAAACTTTCTATATTGTTAAACTATAATAAAGATAGTAAAAGTCAAGTAATCGTAAGTGCTACAAATAGGGACTTAACATGGGTTTTTTTTTTTACTCTATTTTGTGGCCTGCTATAGTTCCTTTTTGATGTTTTCTACATCTATATGAAATATATATTATACCTATATATATTATTGAGGTATATTATTATGTGGGGCTTTCGTATAAAATACAGAATATATTGAATTTGAATCTAACAGAAAATGTATAGTAGACCTGTTTTATTGAAGAGTTTTATGTACCTACCTAAATAAGATATTGCATCCATAATAAATAACGGATCAATTCTATTACTACCTACAATAATTGTTATCTAAACGATTTGTTATCGTTTTATCAGTTCATAATATATTATAACCGTAAATTGGTGGCACAAGCATACAAGGATTCTTACAAAACAATAGCACTAAAATAGATAATAGATGGCATGAAATATTGATAACAAAGTGTATGCATGAGTAAATAAATAGAATTTTACTTATCTATTTATTGTATTGTTTACCGACAGCAGTGTTTATCAAGCACGCACGCTGAGCGCACGTTACACTGAGGATAAAATTGAAAGTAATCTTGTTTCAAAAATGGTTCCTATTATTATCGTTCATGGAGGAGCTGGGGACATTCCTGACGGCAGGGTGAAAGGCAAACTTGATGGAATGAAGGTAGCTGTAACGGCGGGACACAAGATTCTTATGAAAGGAGGCAGTGCTTTGGATGCCGTGGAAGCGGCTGTTGTTGCTATGGAGAAAGATGAAAATTTTAATGCTGGTAAAGTATTTTCTTTAATATAAACGTATTATATTTTTCCTTAAAAATGTTTTTTGATTTTACTCTAACTGATGGGTATGGTTTGTTAAGTTTAGTTTATCTCTGTTTTCAGGTTATGGATCTGTTTTAACTTTGCGAGGAGAAGTAGAAATGGAAGCTAGTATCATGCGTGGACAAGATTTGAATGTAGGTGGAGTTACGCTCGTCAAGGAATTCCTTCATCCTATCAGTATTGCTCATAAAGTACTAACGGATTCACCACATTCTCTTTTAGGAGGAGAGGGGGCGAAATTATTTGCTCTAGAAAAGGTAAAACTCGATTTTATCATTGTACAATTTACACGATACGACACGACTAAAACGCTCTTAATATTTTCACAGGGGTTTAAGCCAATTCCTCCAGAATCATTGATTAGTGAAAATGCAAAACGAGCTTTGGAAAGGTTTTTGAAGCATGGTGATGTTGGGAGGACAGAAATAGGTCCCAAAGATGAGGTAATAAACTAATAGTTGCGTAATCAATTAATCATAGACCAAAGTAAATAAAATAAATTATTATTAGGTATTCGTTTACTTATTATACTTTTATAAGTCGAGTACAAAGTCCCGGTTTGTATTCAATTTCTAGGGTGGAGTGGGGACCGTTGGTGCTGTAGCTATAGATTCTCAAGGGCATATTGCAGCCGCCACAAGTACAGGTGGTATGAGCGGAAAAGCTGTTGGCAGAATAGGGGACACACCTCAGATTGGTAGTGGAACCTATGCCGACGATCATATTGGCGGCGTTTCAACCACGGGTACATTGATTTATTGTTTCTATTTAATGTAGTATTTCATATTAAGTACCTACTATACTTAATTAGATTCCATATATTTTCAGGACATGGGGAATCGATACTGAAATATTGCTTGGCCCACAGCATTATTAAACTCATGGAGAATGGTACCGATGCAAGCACTGCTACGACTATGGCAGTAAATGGTATGATTTTTAATAATGGATGCTTGCCTGCTTGTTCGATTCAGACTAAGTCTAAGATTAGTAATATTTATTTTAAGAATTTAAGAACTATTTTAAATATTTATTATATATGTATATACCTAGGTATTACCTGTATGACAAGCAAATAAATTATCTTTATGCTTAGGTTTGAAATGTTTTTATCGTGTTATATACCTATTACGTATGAATATTTTAAATATGATATTTGAAATAAATATGTTGCTTTTTACCAGGAATGACCTCTCGGCTACATAATACTGCAGGTGCGATCACGTTGTCAAAGAATGGCGAGGTTGGCGTTCATTTCAGCTCAAACAGAATGTCTTGGGCGTACATCAGAGATGGGCAAATAATTTACGGCATCAATCCAGGCGACAATTTTTGTGAGACATATGAGCCTGAGCAGTAAGAACTGATAATTCAATGCATATATTGCATTTGTTGCTTTAGCACTAATGTTTATGCAAGGCTGAATAATGTTTTATTTACAACATATAATACAAAAAAAATCTTTTAGTAGTTACATATTTTAATATGTGTTATATCTATAAATGTACTTTAAAATCTGATCATGAAAATATACTATAACATCAGCAATATGATATTTTCTTTCTCTTTCTACACGTTGTTTCGTCCTCACCAGGCGAGGGTGCTCCATGAGGATTTCCTACCTTAGGAAAAAGGTAACACTTGAAACTGACTACACAAATGAATACAGTTTTATATATTTTCCTACTTGGTCCTGCTTTGGATGTTATAATCACTGTTTACTTTAGATATTTTAAGCCATGATATAAACCTTCGTGTATGGCACCTCTTTATTACACGTTACGTTATGGTGTATGGTCAAAATGGAGAGCATATAAAATTGTATACCATATGCATTGGCCATAGCAAAATCTTGTGATTCTATTCAAAATCAATCATCTTTTTAATCGACTGAAAGACTCGTATCTATAGCTATGAATAAAAAAACTAAATTTCAAAATCACACTGACAGCTGACAGTATCTTTTTATATTTGACAGAAGTCAAAAATGAATTATTGGAGTTACATTTGCTTACAAGTTATTTCTATTTAATTATTTATTATATTTCAAGTACGCTGCATTGTGGCTTCAATTATATTAAATAAAATAAGCCGTATATTAAGTTATTAGATAAACGGAAAAGTACATTATGTTGCTAAACGGCAATATGCCTATTAGATTCAAGCCATTAGAATTTAATTGTTTTAATTGGTTGTACAGTGTCGCACCATGTTTTCCTGTAAATGCAAGTAAAATTAATATAATCAATGATCCTAAAAAGTTTTACGATACATTGTGTGATAGATTTCGGAATGCAAACCGACGAATATCCGTTGCAAGTCTCTACTTAGGAACTGGATCTATGGAAAAAGAGCTCTTGGACATTACCAAAAAGAATTTAAAAGATAATAAATGTTTAAATTTCAAAGTTCTGTTAGATTACCAGCGTGGTACGCGAGGAGAAGTGAATTCAGTAACTCTGTTAAAAGACTTTGTTTCCAGTGACACTAACCAGTGTTCAGTCAGTTTGTATCAGACACCTAGATTGCATGGTTCGTGGTCCAAGGCATTGCCGTCTCGGTATAACGAGCTTGTGGGACTACAGCATATGAAGCTGTACATAGCAGATGACTCTGTGTTGTTGAGTGGTGCCAATTATTCCAATGACTACTTCCAACAGAGACAAGATCGCTACATAGAGATTGAGGATGCAGAACTAGCAAATTTTTACAATGAACTCATAGGTATGATGACTGTAAGTTATTAGGCTCTATTTTTTTATTTCAGACTTATTCTAATTGCTTTGTAGAAACAACTTTTTAATTAATTATGAAAAATCTTGTGCATAATTTGTTTCAATCCACATTGGTGCCTTAAATTTCTAGATGAGGTGAGCCATTTTAGCAAAGAATCCTCGAAGGATGGTATTAGGGAGAGAAAGTACGCCTCAAAGGAGTTGTTCATTCAAGATATGAGAAAGAGTGTAAATGCTTTTATGACAAGATGGCAGGAGCAACAGATGAACAAGCTAATATCTTTTAGAAATTGTGAAGGTACCTATTTTATATCTGTAAACATATTGGTTTAACTTTTATTTGAATTTGTGACATTACTATCAGGAACATTTTACATATTTTCCATACTGATTAAGATGTATTATATAGAAAGAAAGAAAAACCATTTATTATGCCATGACACACAAAAAGCCCATGGTGCGTCACAGCGCAAAAGAAGATTTATCTTAATGAGTTCTATTGAAATATGACATTACATCTAATAATTATTTACAGATGAAACAAAAGATACCTGGATATTTCCTCTAGTACAAATGGGAGAGTTTGGCATCACCCAGGATGAACAGGTCACCAAAAAGTTTTTAGCAACTGTTCCAGAAGGTTCCATAATCAGACTGGCTACTGGATATTTCAACCTTACAAATGAATATGCCAAGACTTTATTGAAAGACTGTAAGGCCAACATTAGTTTGTTAATGGCCCATCCAAATGTAAGTGCTACTTTATTTATGTGAAGTTTTCAGTTCTTCAATTTTTAAATAATTTAAGTAATCCACAGAGAATGTATCACAATTCTATTGTTGTGTTCACTGAAGGTTTACTGAAACAGGCCTTTGTAGAATAAACTGAAAACTGATAGATATCTGTTGACTTAATAAAATATGATTTGTCTTCTTGTGTGTAAATTACAATAGGTAATAATGTATTAAAGTTTACAATGCACAGTTTACTAATTTCATAATATCATAATATCTTGCAGGCCAATGGATTTTTGGGTGCTGCTGGTCCAGCTGGCGGAATCCCTCACGCCTATTCATTAATTGCTAGGAAGTGAGTCAAAGTCCATTATTTAGTGGAGTTGTTGCTTATTCAAGATAAGTTAGTAAAAACTCAGTAGTAGCACGGAGTCTGGAATTGTGCCGGGTATATGGCAATAGGCTCACCCCCTATTACATGGGACTCGTAACATAAATAGTGAAAAGTGGGTGTTACATTGTACAGTGGCATAATGTGCACCTCTGCCTACCCCTTCGGGATAAAAGGCGTGATGTTATGTTATGTTTTCAAGATTAGTTTGTAAAACTTCGATCATTCAGACACATTTATTTTAAATATTTTCATCCTATTTTGTTACTGGATAATAAATCCTTACTTAATATTATAAATCGGAAAGTGAGTTTGTTTGTTTGTTTGTTCCGCTTTCACGCTTTAACTACTAAATCGATTGACTAATTTGATATTCCCGAGGGAAAACAAAAGTATTGGTATAGATGGCGCTGTGTGTATTGGTATATTATTATGTCACAGGCTACTTTTTATCCTTTTGTGGCGCGAGCGAAGCCGCGGGTAAAAGCTAGTTTTACATATTGGATTATTGTTGGAAAACGATAGTAACTAGGCTTTGATACTATTTCAGGTTTTGGCAAAGAGTTTTAGATTCTAAACAGATGAATAGAGTGGAAATGTTGGAATATGAGAGACCTGGGTGGACATTCCATGCAAAAGGATTATGGTAAATATTACCATTGTTGATTTTTCTTGCAATTACAGTAGAAATGTTATGTACAACTAATCAGTGATTTGTATAGATCTAAGCTGTTGTGTTTCATTCTGTTCTATGGTGTGGTACGAGCAAACCTAAAGGTTATAAATTTTGATTTGCAGGTATTACCCACCAGGCTGTGGAGTGCCATGGGCTACTATAGTAGGTTCTGCAAACTTGGGTGAACGGTCTGTCAGACGCGACCTTGAAGCACAGGCTGCCATATTCACCATATCACCAGAGTTACAGGTAGGTAATACCATCTTCTATTATTTAACTATTAGTGGCACGCTCGAACTGCGCACAGGTGTTATTTCTTATACATTGTATTAGTCCGGGAACTAAACTTACTAAGGTACCATCAAAATCTGACCAATGGTTTCTGAGAAATTCTTACTAATATTGTAAATCGGAAAGTGAGTTTGTTTGTTTGTTAGTTTGTTCCGCTTTCACGCCTTAACTACTAAACCGATTGCTTTGAATTTTTGCAGACGTAAAGTTATATCCCGGAAAAAAATGATATTCTCGAGGGAAAACGAAATTATTGGTATAGATGGCGCTGTGTGTTGGTATATATCACAGGCTACTTTTTATCCTTTTGTGACGCGAGCGAAGCCGCGGGTAAAAGCGAGTACAGGATAAACATTATACAGATTTATTTATTCAATATGTTTCAACCATAATTCCATGTTCCTCTCGTTTAGCCAGTTTCATTATTTAGCTTTTATTCTTAATTTCAGATGAAATTACATGAAGAATCACAGCTGTTGCACAAATTTGCAACGGAGTGCAGTAGTCAACTACAGAATAGAGACACTCCTCTATGGGTACGAGCCACAGTTGGTCTGTTTAGAACATATTTTTAAATGATACACAAAATGGCGCCATTTTGGTAGGTATGCGAGGGCCTGAAAGCTTTATTCTTTGTGACGATAACTGTTATAATCTTAAGATGTTAAAAGTAAAAAGCATATGCTTTTGTGAACAAATAATTAAAAGTAAACAATGAGGTTGGTAGTTGTGAATTTAGTCAATTTATGTATTTTAATTATATTTTAAATTAATGAAAAGATGAACACGAAATTGTAATAGGTACTTAATTTAGACGTCAATAATAGACCTAAAAAGCTTCTTTGTTAATAATTTTATATTTGTAATGTAACATTATTTTATTTATTACGTTATATTTTATAATTTTGGGATCACAGTGAACCGCGCGGCTGCGAATTAATTACGTTTTATTTATGTAAATCAGTATTAATTTCAAGCTGTATTGTTCATTGAACCTTTGGACAAAATAGTTACCAAAGTATAATTTGTAATGTATTCAATGTTGTTTAATACAATTTGTTGAGTTTATAAAATGTTACATGATGGAAGTTGAAATGAAGTTTTTCTTTTTCATTCATAATTTAGCCGTAGGTGTGAAAGAAAACAAAGTTTGTAATAATTCTCAATTATATTCACTCTTATTTTCATTTATATAATCACATAATCATAATTATTCCGATTCACACTTAAAATAATTTTAAAATAAATTAAACGAGAAAATATTCTGCAATAATTAATACAAAACTCAGTCGTTTCCTGACATTATTTGATTAGAATTAAAGTATACGATCAAATTTACAATAATAGGAATCAGGCACATTATTAATAATAAAACTATTTACTAGTGAGTAGTGAGAAACTAGTTTATCGTTGGATCGTAATTAGAGAACAGGACGAATGCGAGTGACGAATGCAACTGGACGAAATCACAATAAACAATATTATTACGATAATATACCAGCAAATAATTGATCCAATAAAATAAAAAAAACAACTCACTTTTGAGCATATAATCATTTCTGATTAAAATAATCATTGCAATTGAGCAATTTACACAAATACTTAAATAACAATAATTATTCACGTTAGAATCTGTTACTGAGGCATACTTATAGTATTTGTTTAACAGTGAGCAATTTAATAAAATCTGTGTATTCATATTTAATCAAATTTGAAACAAGGAGAGAGTAAGGAACCTTCCACTACTCTAGCATGGACGCTGTTTATCCTAATCTTTGGTGTGTTGGGCATAACTACGCTGAATGGCTTTACTAAATGTAGCGTGGCTCATACAACTACTGTGATTGTGAATAAATTACGTGGTACTGCATTTAGTAAAGTCGATCAGCCCTCTCGGGAACATTAAATTGTTGTGTCGCGGTAACGCCTTCTTCTATACACTACGGACGCTGATAGTAGGTACAAAAATAGTTCACCTATTCAATACAATTAAGACTACTTAACAATTAAGTATCACGAGGAGGCCATTGTAAAACGAAATTACGAAAATGGACAAAATAATCTCAACAGAACATAGAAATGACTCGATAAGCACAATACGAAACGTATAGATACTGACATTCAGGCACCGGGACCTCCTCGAATATAATACTACTTATAGCAAATCACACTAAGGTAAATTGACTAGGCGCGTTGTGAGTGGACCGCACTGGCCGCGAACTGAGGCTTAGGCTTCGACCTCGGAAGTAGGACAGAAGTATAAATGGATCAGATGTGGGTCGGCGTCGGAGTCAAAGCCTGCGGTCGGTCAGAGGAGAGCTGCGTCAGAAGCCGGGGTCGGGCGGCGGGTCCGGCGGCAGGTAGTGCAGCTCGTCCACGGGCGCGCTGAACACGTTGTACAGCACCGCGAACAGAGTGCAGGCCGCCCACGCGCCCAGCGCCGCCCACCAGAGCAGGCGCTCCCACAGCCGCGCCTGCGCGTGCTTCAGCACCAGCAGACCGATCGTCAGCCCCGCCAGCGCGCCCGCCACGTGCGCCGCGTACGACACCGGCGGCGCTTCCTGCAACCGACACTGCCATCAGTCCTGCACCGCTAGCGACTGCTCGCTTTATAGTTATTATACCGCTCGAGATGATAGCTTACCTTAGTATATCTAGCGTGGACGGCGAAGCCCACGTCGCAGGACGCGACGGCGAGCGCGGCGACGAGCCTCACGGCGCCGTAGCGCATGGTGTGGAAGTTGAGCAGCGCGTTGGCGAGGTGCGCGGCCAGCAGCGCGTAGACGCCGCCCGAGGCGCCGGCCAGGCACACGTCGGGGTCCAGCACGGACGCCGCCAGCGAGCCGCCCAGCACGCCCGCCAGGTACACCGCCGCGCACCGCGCCGCGCCGTGCACCATCTCTAACGGCAGCCCCACCTGCAAGCACACATCACGTCATTTATTGCCTTGCTACCGAGCTGACATTTTCATGACTTTTGACGACCGTAGTGAATATCATTATTGCTAGTTCGAGGTGTATGTATTTTCGCTCGGACAGTTTACGACTTTTTAAGTATTATGTAAATGTCAAGCCATAAATCAATTGAAAGTGTCCTCACATAGTGTTCTACACAATGTTGTCTAGGGTATTTAGTTGAAATTGCAAGCAGTGATAAAGCAATACTAACCGCAAGTTGGACGAGGAGATTGAAAGCGAGGTGCAGCCAGCCAGCGTGCACGACGCTATAGGTGAGGAACCGCCAGAGCTCGCGGCGCCGGTCGGAGCGGTATACGAGCGGCGAGTCCACCGGTACTGGCCCGGCCGCCGCCGCCACGCCGCCCGAGCCCCACGCGTACCACGCAAATACGCCCAGCTGATACACAAATTTACATTGTTTTACCACGTAAATATAGGTAATGTTGAAAATTATAGCACTAAGACAAGCTAGATTCAGGTACCCAGATTTATCAGTCCTTTTGTACCTAACCTGTAGGTTGATTTTAAATTAAACAATCCATTACTTAAAATCATAATATTCAATAGGGTTCACTTTCAACTGAGAAAAGTGAAAATACTTAATTCGCCAGTAAACAAAATGCTGTAAAATCAGCCAATTGAATATTAGAATAGGAACTAATAATTATAAGGACAAATGTTTAATTATGGTTGATAATAAAATAATGGTGACATTTTATAACATTATTCATAGAGGGAAAACCGTTAACAAGAAAGCTAGTAGCGGTATAGCGGAGCATCACACGCTACACACGAGTACGCGAGTAGTTGCAAGTGCGGGCCGAGGTGAATCAACGTGTGACGAGCCAGCAATGAGCACTGCCGACCGATTGTTATGATTCACGTAAACCGCTTGTTTGCACGGATGTGAAATCCGCTATTATAATTTTTAATTAACCGAAGTAACTGGAGCGGGGATTGAAGCGGCACTAGGCAAGTAGAAAGTGATGACTTTGTGCGCCTTCAGTACCGTATTGTACAAAAGATTTATGTCCAATAGCAGTTGCGTAAAATCTATATTTTTCACTATCGTATTATCCGTTGCGGATACAAACTATGATGAGATATGTAGCTCTATAACTTATAATAAAAGACATACTAATAGTAATATTACCTCTAACAGCGTGACACAGATGATGAAGAAGGGCGGAGGGCAACAAGTATACCGTTCCTGGTAGTACTTGCGATCCCGCTCCTCCGGGAGCATCTCCATTGCTACTAGGTGCACCATTCTGCAAAAAACGGAACATTTCTTAAGAAACAGATGGATCATGCCAATGACGAATGCAGGTGAGATGTGACAAATCTCAGTTTCCGAGTATTTTGAGAAGAGGGTGTGGTATTTAAATTCGTTGAGTATCTGGTGTATTAAGGGCCTACATGAGCATGTAATGCAATCAATCAGCCACCGTTAGGAGACCTGTTTATTCTAAAATAGTGTAAGACAACAAGTCATAAGAAATGTATGATATCACTTTACCTGAACTTTTGGTGATGAAAGAAACTTTACATTCCTATTTCAAAACCGTACTGGAAGCGAGCAATTGATCAATTCGCTTTCACTATATTCTAGATCTATATAAAAGCAATTTATTAACGGTTTTATTGTATGAAAGCACACCACATGTCAACGTGACACGACAAGTGAACATAAAAAAATATTTTTAGCGACGGCAATCGATTCAACGGCTATTATTTCAGTGGAATAAAGAAAATATTACACTACATAATTTAGTTTAACTGAAATTTTGATTTAGATAACATAAAGTTACATTTTACTGGAAATTTACAAGTTTCATCGATAAAGGATTTATGTTTACTGGAAGATGACAGACGAGTCACGGCATACTCGATTTATTTGAAAATTGTTTTGAACAGTTACACTCGGCTAATAGAGGGTAGTAAATTATGTCTCTAGGCTTTATGTAATAAATGGTGATTGTGTCTAATGTTCCTGCGTTGTAGTTGGTATATTACATTGGTGTATTTTCCTGTTTTATCATCGTGTGGTAATTAGTATTACGTAAATACAGGCAGTGTGCTAATGGGTGCTGTGTTTACCTGGCGAATAACGTGGGATCCTCTAGGAGCAGATGGAAGTCGTTCTCGGAACTGACCTCACGGTCGCGGTGGTGTACTGCGCATCTATAGCTGCGTGTGCGCTTGCCGCTCATCTAAAACAAACAAACATTTTCATTTATTAATTAAATGCAAATACTGCCACTTGCCTCTCCGTAAACTGCTATAAATGGAGAATAAAATGACTGATCAATTTTAATAATGGATAAGTCTTCTCAGTTTTCATAATAACTATCGTGAGACATACTAAATCACTACATAGTATAAAATAAAGTCGCTATCCGCTGTCTGTCTGTCCCTATGCATGCTTAGATCTTTAAAACTCCGCAACAGATTTTGATACGGTTATCTAGAGTAGATCGCTATTCAAGGAAAGTTTAAATATACAATACATGCATATTGCATTCTTGTGAAACCGGGGCGGGTCGCTAGTTAACTAATAAAAGAAAATCAGTAGGAATCAGAGTAAGAATCCCTCTGTGGTTCGAAACTAGTAGAGCTTTTCTCAGTATATTCATGTGGTAGGTAATTCGCGATTTTTAGTTAATTAAGTCTTTTCAGGTCATATCTGCCTGTAAGTATCTTTTATCCTCTCCACATTGCATGGAATGTGTATTTCTATCCCTATATCTTAATTTAACCCCCGTTTAAAATCTAATCCGTTCCCGGAAAGACAATAAAACATAACGCGTGTTTCCCTTGCACAGTCATACACAGTTAATTCCCTAACTTAGCCATTTCGTTAAGGCCAAATGTACACTAAATTATTTACCATTTAGTTTAATATTTATCTCAAATACCATGCATGATTTTAATAAAATATAATTTAACTTATGTACCGAATAAACCTAATCTCTGTTATTAGTTTCTCCGGTCTCTTGTTGTAGGCCATATTATAATCATTTTTTCAGGTCAATCTGTTTAAGTAATTGTATTGAACTACACATACGTTCTGCAATGGTATGTGAACTTAAAAGCTTAGCTTAAGTAAGCACCTACTAAGTAAAACCTACATACATGCTAACTTAGGAGATTTTAAGACCAAGGAAACGAGAAATGAAGGAAATTATAAATGCGGCGTTCAATAAAATAAACGGTGAGAACTTCCACTTTAGAGTGGCGAGGGTGTATTTATGTGTCGCGGCACTGGCGGCTGGCTCGCGGCCAGCGCTTATCGACCCCGCTGTGAACCCCCCAACACCCGCCCTTGAGACACGTGCTTTTACATTTCAATGTTTCAACTAACTTAGGTTCACAGCTTAGCCACTAATTGCTAAAAAAAAAAATAAGTGTAGAAGTCTCAACTTTAGGTCTATCACTGGATGCCTCCAAATTTTGTTTAATGTAGGTTGCTGGTCTCCTTTTTAGCTGCGTAAGCACATACGTTACGTAGTAAATTTCTATTCTAATTTATGTGCAAGTAAATTGGAATAGAAATTCGCAATAGAATATAAAAAATCTAATTGTCTAATCCTACAAAGCTCCATACGTTATAGTTCCACATCCACACGTAGCGTAGGTAGTTTCATTCTAGAGAAAGCTTCAGGAATTCGGTGCACCTATTCTCTCGTGGCATATCTGCTACCTTCCCACGTTAAGCTATAAGTACACCAATGTGCTTTGAATGTAAAGCGATGTGAATAAATCAAGTATAGTGTTTTAATAGAAGATGGCCGAAGATGTAATGCCGAACGTGAGGTGCAGGCGCGACACTCGGCAGCGGGCAGGCGATGCTCGGCGCTGCCGCGATGCCGCACGGGTGGGCGGTGGTCCGGTGAACGACTGGTCGCGATACCAGACAGCCGCATTGTCTCTGCAGTCGTTCAACTCAGTTTCCCACGAGACTGCGAAATGTCCAATGCCAAAACCCAAATACAAATAGCCTAGACGCGTCGCAGACACAGCTAAATCTGTCTCGGCAACAGCGACCGCGTTAATTTAGAAGACTGTGCGTGTAATATTGTCCGCAGTCATTGTCATGATAGCGTTACGGTTGTAAACTCGTCACGCGGATTTCCAATTATTCATGAAATCAGTCAGAAATAAAAATATTGATTTTAAAATATCTAAGCACGTTATTGAATACCTACTTAAAAAACTATAAACATCTATGTCTAATTTTCGTAGTCTATGTATTATAGTTAAAGAATACCACAGACGACATACCTATCTAACTAATCAAATAGGCCTAAAGTCGGAATAACTAATCTTGATCCTTGACGGAAACAAAAAATAAGTTAATTGTATTTCTTATTTATTTATACATCGCATTCATATAAACATTTTAATAATAAGTTAGACGACATAATATACACAGTATCACATTTTAATCATCAAGTGTATTATTTACATAAATGATTGTGATTTTTAATTTATTCTCTAAATTATCACTTCTTTAGGTATAATGCGTATGTATATTGACGTTTATTGTACTTTCTGTTGTAAAGCTGATGTAGTTTTGCGATGCAACCTGGGCGCCAGTGGGCGCACTGGCTATGGAGGAGCGACGCGGCGGCGTGGGCGCCGCGTGACTCACGCCGACATCCGACACGTCCGATCCGTATCCGGAACCACTAACTAGGCACCTATTGCCGTTGCCAGTCAAACGAGCGCACGAGCCTACGCGACGCAACAATCATTTCAATAACCCACATTATCATACATCCATTAATTATATCAACATGTAAAGTAAACAAACGGTAATAAAATAATTTTTCTAATCTAAATTCACCCATTAATGATTAACGTAACATACTGTAATATAGTGTAGCATATTGCTATTTAAACAAGCCAAATTTATAATAAATACACGAATTAAAACTTGACTAACAGATTTATTAGATGGTGACTTATGAACGCCTACGCTGCATAAAATTATTTAGCCTTTATGAATGGAACTATAATTGATTTTCTAGTCGTAGTTCATTCACTCGTATTATTCATTTGAAGCATATATAAATTTGTGACGTTGATAATTAAAGACTATTTTACTTTTGCAATATTTTGGCCGAGTATTTTTCTAACAGGTACAAATGTCTACTAATGGAGTAATAGATGCGATTCATTTCATAATATTACTATTACAAATGTTCAAGTACGATATGATATTCCAATTTTAAATACAGTAGAAGAGCATAATATTCAGACTAATTTGTCGGTATCACTATGTAAATTTTCTAACACGTTATAGACTTGGTTCATTGTGTTATCATAGTAAAGTAATATTTTTTTTTTTTTTTAAAAAAACGTTGCCCCACACTAGGATTTTCTCCTGTGTCGTGGGTGCGTTTACAAACATACAAGTTCACATACACAATGACACCCAGACCCGAAACAACAATTTGTGGATCACACAAAGTGTTGTTCCGTGCGGGAATCGAACCCGCGACACGTTGCACGGCAGCCGGTTGC